TGTAAAGACTAGAATAGTTGATCATCATTGTAATTGTAATAATTATATGACAGCGATCTTTGTTCTTTGTATTCATTATAATTGTAATTTAAGAGAAATAAATAGCAATTAACCGGACCCGAAATCAACAGTTCATTGATCAATCTGATTATTGATACACGTAATTGTACATTCCAAGAGAAATTACGAATACTTTCCATTTCCATGGCACGGTTTTCTGAATAGCATTGGAATCAGTGAGTTGAGTGTATACAGCATCGCAAGTAATTTTAGAGCTGGTTACGTTATCTTTTGCACATTGTTTGGTAACCAAGCATTTCGATAGTCAATTTTTTGAGATAAATTAAGCACAATCGACAACGATTCAATGCATTGACCAATGAGTTTCGGGTTGATGTTGATTGTGCTTAATTTATCTCTAAAAATTTGCTATTAAAATATGCTTAGTTACCAAACAATGTGCAAAAGATAACGTAACCAGCTCTAATTTTCACTTTCGATGCTGTATGCATGAACATGTTTGCAGCTTTAGTCAAACTTACCAAAGAAAACGATTCTTTTTGAAGTGTTGAGATTATAATGAACTTGCATCTCGATGTCACCTTTCTGTATCTTGATTACTCCATGAATAAAGGGCTTGAAATAAACTGTTTCAGCCAAATACCAAGTATTGTTTGATTCCTAAAAATAAAAAAAATCATTTAATATTGTTGAGTAAAAAGACATTTGTTTCTTTACCTCATTAGTTATATTGGCTTTAATCAACAAATCGTAAGAACTTAATTCGATTTTAGTGGCTGATAGAGAAATTATTCATTAAACTGGTAAATCATTTGGGTTGGTATGGAGACTTACCTTGATTGATTTGAAACAGTAAAGTGATTATTACAAGTGAAATTATGATGAGATTCATTTTGTAAAACTTTCAACCAACAAACAGTTGTTGTAATGTGAATCTTTGGAATGATATCAACTTAACTTAAAGAAAACAAATTAGCTCAAATGATCTTTCATGATCCAAACACAAAACGCCCTTTCCGTTGTTCATCTTAAGACATAACTATTATCAGATTTCTGAATAAACAAATGGACTCAACAAAGGGCTTGATCGATCAATTTTCCTGTTTATCTTTAAATTTTAATGATCAATTATTTATCAATGTGCACAATGTGATTTAATGTTGTATTTTGTAATT